CTTCTTTTTGGAACTAAGCTGTCTATATGGAGTTATAAGGTTATAAGAATCATCGTAGTATTGTTTTTGATAATACAATTATATAGCCATTTTGATTCTGAGATTCTAACCGAAGCAGATAAAAACGTTCCAAAAAGTGTAAGCCACTTTAGATTGCCGACTTACTTCACGGAACTAAGACTCTTTACGAGATTTACATATTACATATCACTGGATGGATCCATGAATTGTTATTTATTTTTTAGGGTTTTGTCTCTTCTCGAACTCTGGTTTTATTATTTTGGTAATTCGCTTAAATTTTTTTGGTGTAATATTTCAATAAATATGTAAATGATTTAAGCATATTTTGAAGGCGACAAAATAAATATTGATGAAGATTAAACATTTTTCGTATTATTTACAATTTCCGGAAACATTCTGGTCTTAATGTATTCAGTTTGCCACGATATTTGTAAGACCCAAAAGGAATCGTCGGAGGCCCTAGAAAGTACGAGTTTATCTATAAATGATCAGCGTGACGAGTTAAGTCGATTTAGCCATGTCCGTCTGTATATACGCAAAATAGTCCCTCAGTTTTTGAGATATCGATCTGAAATTTTCCACACGTACTTTTTTCCTCAAGAAGCTGCTTATTTGTCGGAACCGCCGATATCGGGCAACTATAGCATATAGCTTCCATCTAAACTGACCGATTAAACTCAAGTCCTTGTATGGAAAACTCTTTCTTTTCTTGGCATAGATTATTATCCAAAGCATCGCTATAATCTCCGAAGAAATTGTTTAGATCGAAAAACTATAGCATATAGCTGCCATACAAACGGACCGATTAAAATCAGAATAAACCTCTTGTTATACCCTTTTATGCATCCAAAGTTAACGTTTTTCTTGTTTTAGAATACATTCTATTGATTCTTTGTTGTTGCTTTTACATGAAATTAGCGGTTAGATTTAGACTTTTTATTTTCTCTTGGACGCTTTGATAGTGATGACAAATAGAGACCGGTCATGTAATTCCTGCTATTTTAGTTATTGTCAGATATATATCTGGTACTTAAGCCCGATTATCGTGAGAACGGGACTTGTTTCTAGGTACCTATATAAAGTCGAATTTCTTGTACAATCGGCCAGTTATTGATAGTATAAATTATATTTTTGGAAAACACCAGCATTTGGGTGCGACAATGATTAATTGCATCGTGACCCCAAGTATTGGGTTGGATTTGCGGATTTCACTCATAGATGGCTTCAGTTGAATTTTTAGGTTTGCTAGGTTTGTCTGCATTAACAGCTGCGGTTTGCTAAAGAAAAGTAATGAAAATGATCCATTTTTAAAACGAATGATAACTGACGATGAAAAATGGGTTGTTTACAACAATATCGAGCGGAAAAGATCGTGGAGCAGGCCAGGTGGACCAGCTCAAACAACGTCAAAAGCTGGTATTCATCAGAAGAAGGTTTTGTTATCAGTTTGGTGGGATTATAAAGGAATTGTGTACTTTGAACTCTTACCACCCAACCGAACGATCAATTCTGTTGTCTACATTGAACAACTAACGAAATTAAACAATGCATTGGAAGAAAAGCGGCCCAAATTGATAAATCGAAAAGGTGTTGTATTCCATCATGACAATGCAAGGCCACACACATCTTTGATCACTCGGCAAAAATTATTGGAGCTTGATTGGGATGTTTTGCCACATCCACCATATAGTCCTGACCTTGTACCATCAGATTACATTATCAAAGATGGCAAAAGGTCATTGATCAAAATGGGCAATACATTACAAAATAAAGTTATTTAATTCCATGAAAAAATTGTCTTTAAAATTTTGAAAAAAATCCGCAATTACTTAGTTGTAACGAGTCTCGTTAAATAATACAACATAAGAAGCATTAACGAATGTTTAACATCAAATAATTATATATGTATATATGGACAGATAAGTATATATGTATTTACTTATATCAAACAAAAAATGCTCACATACGCACACCATGAAACTGCAAATGGTTTTGAATATGGCAAAAACGGCCATTATCTACGGTCTTTAGAACACACGACACACATATACCAGTACATACTCGAGTCCACGAGTGGACCACTTAAGGACCCAGCAGAGACGGCGTTTCACAATTAGTGCGCGCAATCACCTGAGGCACAACAAACAAGATTTCAATAAGCCACACCAAATCAACGCGAATGCAACAGCACCGAGTGCAACAATAAGAGGCACAACAACAAGCCGCAGGCCGAGTATGTTGCATTCGCCATAATATGTCCGCATAATATTTAGTTTCTTGACCAATGCTCGCCAATTTCTCGTTGACATACAGACGCACGCATGCATTTATGCTTATGAACACATTTCAACCGCCAACAACTACAACAACAACACTACCACTCAAATCCAATATGAGGCGCAGTGGCGGCAACTGTGAAGCATCGACGTTTGGGATTTTGCTGCCAAGGCACTGTTGCTTTTGTCGTTGCAGTGCGGCACGCAGTTGATTTTAATCAAATTCACAGCATTGTTTACCTGTCAGGCAGCGGCGAAACGCGCGAGCAACGATTATCGCCGGTCTTGTACACGCTTATTGCTGTTGACGTCGTTGTTATATTGTTATATACTGTATTACTACGCTTTATTCACGTCGTTGTTGTTGTTGTTGCTATTTTACGTGTCGTTAATGTTATTACTGCTGCTATTATTGTGGAGCCATATTTGCTATGGTCAGTTGTTGCAGCAAGCGTTTCAGAATGTTGTTGTTGCTATGAATGCATTAGTTCTTGTTTTTGTGGTGAATGTTTTTGCTTTTATTGTTTCTGTTGTGGTTGTTGTTATTGTTGCATATGCCACAAATTCCATTCGCATTTCACAGCAAAAGCAACCAACTTGAAGAATTCAGTACTCTAAAGTGACCAACAACAACAACAGCAACACCACGCACGTAGTGTGCGTTGAAGTACCTTCCAACAAGGAGGCTGGCTAACTGGCTGACCGTCCAGCAAGCAGACGCTGCTGAAGGCAAAAGCAAATGTTTTTGCTGTCCTCTTTTGCACATTCTTACCAGGGAAATCCTCCTCCCTCATTTTTATAGCTTTTTATATATTATGCTCGACGTAGGTGCCCCCAACTTCACTTCCAATTCTCATATGTTCACTGGTTTTGGTGCTGTTGTGTGTGTGTGTGTATGTATGTGTGTTCGTAGCCAAAATCTCATGAATCTCATTAAAAAGGGCAGCCATAAAGTTCTTGTAATAACAGCAAATTGAGTTCATCCCATTTTTGGTAGTGTGCTACAACAATACAACAATAACAGCAACAACAATGGCAACAATATGCATTGTTACTAAACATCGAAGCTATCCAGCGGCGTCAAGTCGTGGTTGTTAGTGTGTTTGGCTAAGCTGTCGTTTATGGTTCGGCGTCTTGTATCGAAAGCCAGACTTACGCAATATTATTTGTAAGTAGCACGTGAAGGCGATCGCGTCTAAGGATGAGCATTAATGGCAATGTTTAGGTTTGAGTTTCTTTTTTATCGGGCGATTTGTACAACTTGTCGCCTAATTGAAGACGATTAAGTAAGAAATGTATTGGCAATAACAAACATATACATTAAGGAGGGTAAATGAAAAACGATTTTGTTCGCTTGGTACTCTGAAAAATAGATTCTTAAACACCTCTAAAAAGTCTCTCCAAGCATGAGCTCTGAATTATAACGGGAAGGTCCTCCGCCTTACAGTTTTCTATTTACTTTATTATCAGATAGAAACATTGATATCTCACTTCCAACTACTTAAAAAAAATATCTTGTTTCATATATTTCGTGTAATTTTTGATTAGGTTAAGCGTTTACGAGATATTCAATATCAAATATAAATGAATATTAAAGGAAATATAAGAAAAAAAGAGTATTTAAATTCATAAAAAATATATGAAATTAGTTTTTTTTCAAGCGGAGATTTGAACATTTCTATCTAGATGATAAGAAAAAAAGATTAAAAAGAAATAGCGATTGACTTATCGTGGAACAGTCCTGTTCGTGAGAATTTGGAAAAAAAACATTTTGTGATCATTTATCAGAAGCGAAAATTTGCATCCGTTTGAAGCTACACAATGCGAACGAAACTCAAAACAGGGTTCTTATTACTTGGAAAACGAATACATATATATAACTTCAAAACAATATTCCATGGCAAATATTTCCGAAAATCTTCCCTTATTTTTAAGTTTTAAATTGTTAATCCCAAATACCAGATTGAAAAAAAAATTCTCCCAAACAACGGAATAATAAAAATAAAATTTTTATTCTAAAAATCTGATTAAAACTTAAAAATAAACTTTTACATTTAATTAATTTTTCAAAAAAAATTAAATAAAATAATAATAAATTGAATAACACAAACAGCAAATTGACGAAAAGTGAAATACCAATGGCACACGTAAAATAAATTTGCGCCTTTTATCCAATGTCAAATACGCGAAAGTTTACCGCTACAAAAGAAGCATACACACACACGCACAAGTTCGTATCTGGGATAAAAACAATGTTTAAAAAATTCAATTGGTGCTTGCATCAATATGAGTAAAAGGAAAAGGAAATGGAAACGATTGCAAAAACGCTTTTCTCAAACACTTTTCATTGGAAAAGAATTACACTCAACCAGAGAGTGTTAATATATAATTTTAATGTATATTAGATATGAATCTCTGGTTTTGTTTTTATAGGTACACTGGCGGAACTAGGTTGTCGGTTCTAAACCTGACTAACAGTAGTGGCCATTTTTAGAGTACTTAAGTACAAATAATAATATAAATGTGGCATTTTGCAGAAAAAAGTATACTTAACGAGTGGTTTGAGAATTTTGAAATTTTTATTTTAGTTAAAAATATGAAAAATTGCAATGTCAAAAAAGTAGTTGTTTAATCCTATTAATATAAGGTTAAGTGGCAGGACTGGCGCACAAGAATTTGTCACAATTGGAATTTTCGCTCTCTGTTGTTTTCTTGCACTTGACATTTCGCGATAAAAGGAGCAGATCATTTTCATAGTGCAAATCGGAGGTTGACGTTAAAAAATAGGTGCAGTTGGATAGAAAATTTGCAGCAAAATATTTTAGAATTATAGCAAATATCTATTTTTTAAATATGAATACAGTGTAATAAAATATATCATCGTTAAAATGTGAATTTAATGCAAGGAATAGAATAAATCAGCGATAACGGCAAAAAAGAAAGCACCAACACCAGCAGCGCTAAATCAGCAGACAACGGAAAGAAAGGTGTCAGTAGAAAGAATAGCTAGAGAAAAGGGCGGAAAGGTGTTGGTGCACGCGGAATTTTTTTTTGGCGAGAAACGGGTAGCTGAAAAATTTTCAGCCTACTATATTTATTCTAATATAATCGGGTACTGTAATAGCAAAGTTGTGTGCAAAAACAAAAGGATAAAAAGAACTTTTTTTTTTGGTAAGAGAAGTGTTAGCACAGATTAACGCGATTATTTTCTCTTTCACACGGAACACCCACTCCTAAGCCATTTAGCCCACCGTAATCGTAGTAATTAATCGGGATGGCGTTACTACAGGAGTTAGATATTTTCGAGCTGTGTCCGCTTATTACCAATTTAAATTGCAAATTATCCACGGTCAGCGAGTATGATGCACGCAAACAATTATTATGTCTCGTCTCGGAGGAAAATGACATAGTGCTGCGCTACACCAGTGAAGGTGGGCAGGAAGTGTTGAAATTAGTTTCCTGGTTTCGTCGCACCAATCGTGTAATTCATGACGTCTGCTTTGATCCATCCGGTACTTGGTTATTAGTATTATGTGAGTATATAAATATTTAAATTTAGAAAAATTATGAAATAAACAACCAAATCATAAGTGTGTTGCCAGTTGGTTGCCAATGAGCACGGTTAAATCGATTCGTCACGTCCAATCAAATATGTATATATATAATTATAACGCTTTCAATAAAATAAGCTAAAAATGTAGGAGAAAATGACTAGAGAACGTAAAATATGCGTGACGTCAACGAGGAATCGTCTGGTCACTAGCATGTAAATGTAGGTCTATAACTCTCTGCAAGGTATTATTGTACCATGGTTAAAACTACCTTAGTCTGTACTTTAAATCATGAAAACTCACGGAATGTGTGCACTCAGGTTTTTAATACACTTTTTCCCCGCTTTTATGCTATTGATTTTTGTATTTTTTAGTTTGTTTTTGTTATATGTTTGTTTATCAATTGATTTTTGCGGCAAGCGAGTGTGCTATCTACGCATAGGTGTTTGAGTACATTGAACTGTGAAAGTAACGGGGTAGCAAGAACAAGTGGGGTGAGAAATGTGAAAAAAACTTTGATAAATGCAAGAGACCTACGGCCTCGTCTTTGCAATCGCATATGCTGTCAATGTCTTTGTGCGCTAATAACGTCATAGACACTCTAGACAGCATGTCGCTGTAAATTGAGCTTGCACAAGTTACATATAAATGAAATGATGATAGCACAAGTATTAATAGCTACTTATGAAGAAAAGCTGTTAGCCCCATAAAGTGCATGCAAATAATAGCCCGTTGTTATTTGCATTTTAATATAATTATAAATATATGCATACATACCATATGTACTCGTATATATCCCAAATCCATAAATAAGGTGCTCTACTTCATAAAATAAATAAAAATGGTAGTTTATAAGCAAATTAGTCAGCAGCTCGCGCTGTAGATGTTTAATATTTATTTCCCTATTTTTATACCCTGAATATACTCTATTACGTGCACACCTCCTTTTCTCCCCAAAAACCTTATTTGGCAAAATCGCCGATATCGGACCACTATAACATATAGCTGCTCGCATCAGTGAAACCGAAGTCAACGTTTTTTCTTGTTTTTTTAGGTATTTTGGTTATTCTAAACAACTCTATATTTTTTAAAATTTTGTTCTAAATATTTATAAAACTTTCTACTGCTAAGGTTTCGACAATACGTTGCATATTGTACCCGCTCTCGCTGTGGTCGACAAAACTTTCATGGAGCCAACAAACTCGACTCACCCGCCGCAACAGCCATACAGCACAACACAAATTACCTCATACATCATACCGTTTGTGGGACCACATGAGTGTCCAAACTCAAAAAGGTGCCCCAATCAGGCCACGTTAAGTGAAACCATTGCAAAACAACCGCCGCCTGTCATACCAACTGTCATTGTTGCAGAGGACAAAACTGATAGCGCATGCGATGAGCAGGAAAAACCACATGAAGCCAGAGCTGAAAGTGAGCAGCCAGTAGACACTGAAAAGCCTCTACGTCACGGGAAAGTATCGCTCAAGCGTCACAACTGCTAGTAGAAGTTGAGGTGAATATAGAGCCAAAACTGCCAGCCAACATGAATCTTGATGCATATAGCCATGATGTGCCCGCCAGTATGTTGGCGTCTACAGCGCCACCGAATGTATTCGAAGATAAAACGGGCAATAGTCAGGTTATGGCTACATCCTTTATGGCTTCGATTACTTGCCCATACCCGCTAGCGGTTGTGTGGTGGCAAACTATAGATGGTGTAAATCGCGCTGTTATTGGCTATTCCGACGGTTCCATTTGTTTTGTGGGTTTGAGTCCAAATTGCCCGTTCGTAGCGAGCACGGCAATTGATACCGGCTCTGTTGTGAAGTTGCTCATTTGCAAGGACAGCACTTTTGAGAGCGTTATGTTGCTGGTAAATATAACTGCTATATACTTATATATTTAAAAACAATTTATATAAAATTGTATTTTCTCAGATCACCTCGTCTGTAAAGCAGCAGTTTAAATTACTACTTGAACAGAAAGCCATCAAATATATATACCCAGGCGAAATCTCACCCAGCGCGATACACGGGCGCGATAGTGACTGGCAGATTGTTATGCCGCTAAAGACACAAAGTAATTGCTCTGACCCAGCATCAGACAACAGCGCTTTAGATGAGGATGTTTTCTTAAGAAACGATGAAATTCCTAGCACATCAGCGGCGGCAGCGACATGTGGTGGTCCAGCACAGCCTTGTCATTCACTGCGACGTTCCGTCATAATACCCGGTACACACACACCTATGTCTAAAACCGCAATGCCACCACCGCCTCCACCTTATTCGGTAGCTATCAATCGTCACTTGGACACTGCGCCCACAACGAGCACCAGCGCCATAGGTGGCAACAGTGCGGCTGCCACGAATACTACCGCAAGCAACAGTGGCAACGGCAGCGGCAGCGTGCCCACTACCATGAGCATTGCCAATGGTAGCTCAGCGACCGGTATACGTTTCACACAACAACAGCTGCCCGAATTGGACGATGTGAATGCACGTGCTGGCATTTTGCCAGCAGCACGCGCACGTCTCGCCTCATTGAAGAGCCTGGGCACAAAGAAGCTGAATGCCATCAAAATGCGTCTCTCCGATAATCGGCATAAGCTCGAAGATTGTAAGTAAACAATTTGTCTGCAGAATGTTTAACGAAACAAAATCTATGACAAAAAAAAAATTAAATTTAGCACTTTGTTTCTACTTATTTAATCCAGTAACTACTGTATCTTCTAAAACCACTATTATTTGCTTTTTGAAACCTTTTCCTTTCTTAATTTCTCAGTTATAAAATGTATTGTAATTTTATTAAATAGATTGCGTGCGAAACGCGGTGAGTTTAGCCAACGTTTATGCTACGACACACGTGTTGTTGTCATGCTTACAATCATTCTCGCCGAACAGTTAGTCAAATCAGACATACAAATATACAAACTCGCTTAGCGTGAACGCTCACATCATCTGCGTTTTGGCGTTCTCTGTACAAATATACCCAAACATACATTTATTTCATTCCCCCCAAATTACGTTTATTTACAAGCTTAAATTGTTGTTGTTGTTTATAGAATTAACTTTTCTTTATTTATAAGCCACAACTAATGCGGCATGTTTTTCCTTGCAGATGTGTCTGAAAATACTCTTGGCAACTTTGCCATCATAGATTCACCATCGCTAACCCCCGAGGTGTTGAACAACTCCAGCGGTTCCTTCTACACCATACAGAATTTGCGCAACACCTATCTGCTAAGCGCACTACACAGTCACACAAACAGTCTCACCGTGCATAATATTGATATTAATTTGAAACCGTTATTTCTCTATAAGATCCCGAAGAACTGCTTTGATATTTTAATCAGCTCAAATTTGCTTTATACCATACAATATGTCGATATAAATGGTGGCGATAATGCGAAAGAATGCGCTGACCTAACGAATGCCGAACGCAATACGGAAAAAGAGAATCGCGACACCGATACCGAGAAGGAAGAAGTCATCGATCTATGCGAAGGCAATGACACGCTGCTTGCGGATATCAATTCGGCGGGCTCGTTTAGTGCGGACACGAGTGCGACCACGAGCGGGCCATCCACCAGCGACAGCTTATCGCACTGTAACGCGATAAATGCTGTCGGCGTGATAAGCAGCGCAATGGCCACTTTACGCGCAGGCGATGATGATGTTAGTACATACAATTATAAAAAAACTATATAAATGATCAGCTTGGCGGGCTGAGTCGATTTAGCTATGCCAGCCTGTCTGTATCTACGCGAATAAATACGTCAGTTTTAGAGTTAGATGAAATTTGGCCCACGTATCTTTCTCCCCAAGAAGTCGCTCATTTGTCGAAACCGCCGATATCGGACCACTTTAGCATATAGTTGCCATATAAATTGAACGATCAAAATTATGACCTTGTATAGAAAGCCTTTTTATTTGATAAGATATCTTCACGAAATTTGAAGCTGTCATACAAATTGATCGATTAAATAGAATTCTTGTATGAAGTCTTTTGTATTTGTGAAGGGTATTATAGTTATAATGCAACCGAAGTTAACGTTGTTTTATTGTTTTGACTCTCATTTATTAATTTTACACTCTATACTCCTCTCTAGTGCTTCAACGGCGCTTCACAGCTGACCATATTTCGCTTCGAGAATGAGACTGTGCTGAATCTCTATCAAATGGCCACCTATCGCTCGAGTGAGCCTAGCGAAATCATCACGAAGGAGGAGAAAGCTAAAGCGTTCGATTTCAAGGATATACGCTCACCCATGGATTATGTGCAGTTCTATGAGCATGCCGACGTGAAGGCGGAGTACTCGTTGCGTCAAATGGAAATTATGAACCATGAATTTCCAAAAATCAATTACGATCCCTGCTACGTGATCACCAACAAAAATGTCTACTACATACAATTAAAGTGAAGTCAAAATTTTCAGCACACATTTTTATGCTAACCTAACGTCTTTTCTTTTTCTTGTTTGCAGAAAGGAGCCGTTCGCCATCTTCCTAGATTCTGCGCTGGCGGGTGAATGGAAGCAATGTCGTGAATTCTGCAACACCTTTGATCTCACCTACGAGGCGTGCATAGAGTTTGCCGGCGATTATCTGCTGCGTCGCAAGCGCGTCACTCAGGCGCTGGTCACATACAACTCAGCGCGTATCAAGCCAATACGCACCGCACTCAAATTAGCCATGTTCGGACAGACATGTGCGCTTATGCATCTCTGCGCTATGGCACTGAAGACGACCTACCTGCTGAAGTCGAAATACTTTAGCAGTCCCATAATAAGAACATTACTTAAAGATATTACATATCGTCACTCGGAAGATGTGCGCACAATTCTACCGCTGACGGCCGATAAAAATTCTGCTGTGGTGATAAATGAGGGCATATCAGCCAGTGACTATAACTATGGAGTGGATGACTCGCTTAGCAACCTACAAATGTCGCCTTCGTCACAATTTCATTTGGCCAATTTGTTGTTGATATCGTTAGCGGAGCGCGCTGTGAATGATAAGAACTACTTGCCGTTGTGGTGATTTTACTTTTTCTCTCGTGTTGTAGCGCTTGAAATTGATTGCCGTTTATTTTTTAGGAATTTCCTTGTTACCAATACGAAATATCACACGAATATGACTAGCATTGTACTGTGCCAGAGTGGTCTCTTCTCGTCGGCGTTGTTGTTGGCGAAGACGCGTGGCGTTTGTATCGATACATTTTTGGCGCTGACCAGTGTTGTGGGGCAGGAATTCGGTAAATATCGTAAAGAGTCTTTGCAAGAAAGGAACAATAACTGTTTTACGTTAGGCTGGTATACAGAGATGAATGTGTGTTTGTATAATTTGAGTGAGCCAATTTTCGCCGAGACGATCACTTATTTGCCGCAAGTCGCTGTGGACTATTTTGCTTTCATACAAGAGAAACTACCAAATATAAGGCACTGCGTGCTTGAGGTGAGTAACAATACTATGGTTGGGGTGATTTAAACATTTTTATACCCTAACATATTGCTGTAAGTCCTAAGGGGGTCCATATGACGTACACAGGGGGTATAGGTATCCGAAACGGTTACATATTTATTTCAACCCGTTAGCATTCCTCGAAATTATTAAGATAATGTTTTCTGTCGCTACAACAACAACAATGTAACAGTAAAGGAATTTGCTAAGTCCCAAGGGGGTACATATGATATACATACGTCGAGTCTACGTATTCGAAACGGGCACGGTTTTATATTCGTCCCGAAACATTCAACTCGATAGCGTTCCTCCATATTATTTAGAGAATTCTATCGCTAAAACAATAACAACAAAAATTACAGATCGAAGTCTATAAATTTATTCCCGTTATCTCGGTTTCTTCGGCTGACTATGACACCGTATATATTTAGCAATTTATGAATGGGATTTGTAGTGGTTTCGGACGTGACAAACTTCTAAAAAGCATTAAACGCCATTCACCGGAGAGCTATTAATTCCTTCATTGACTTTCTGTTGTTGTTCTAGCAGTTATCTGCGATTCCCACCACAGCCGGTTCTACGTTACCGGATTTTACCCGAATTTTATCCGGCCAAAGACTGTTATTTCGTCGATCTAACGCGGTTTGGATCGGTAAGTAGTCATTGACTCCCTCCTAGTGAATGGTGTTCTTGGAGTCGAAATACCAACCATACCAGAACGTTACCTCAAATTGTTGCCTGAAACCAGAGTAACCCTCGAGAAACTAGGTCTAGGCGCCCAATCGGTCCATAACTTCCTCTAACGTCTCGATACATTTCACACTTTATATCGCCCAAACTTAGACCATTTTAATAGTTATGTTATATAATAATATTGTAACTCTCTTCTTTAAAGCGCCTGGAACACCAATTGAATCCCTTCTCCGCGGTTCTACGTCCAATTGTATCGCACACTTCCTCCGGTCATGTGGAGCACAATATAAACGACAATAAAACGTTTTTATTTGATTTTTGTAAAAATCTCATCGAAACATATTTAGCTGTACTCATACATATGGAATCTCAACGCTCGAAGAGCGAACACATAACGAACGCATTGTCGACGTTCCGCATCACCTACGAAGACAATCAGGTGGCGAAGCATATGCAGACATTTCTCATTCAATTAAATTAATTATTTGCTCTCCTTACAGTTTGCGATCGAAACATCACGCTTTAAACCCATCTCTGCTGGTTGTGCACACTGTGCTTGCGTTGTGGACGGTGTTGCCTACTTTTGGGGTTCTAATGGAGTGCCTTGTAATTATAGCGTTAACAAGTCTTCCGGTATGTAGTGTATTACAACAACTAAAATGAATAATAAATATTTATGTATGTTCAACATTTAGATCCGCCAGAGCCGCCACACGCCGTTAAGAGCTTGGACCTACTGTCACAATTGAATCTGGAGGTGCATACCGTAAAGTGCGGCCGCCAGCATACGCTACTGTTAACGAACAATGGGGTGCGTTAGAAATTAATTAAATAATGCAATAATAAGAAATAAATAGCACACTTATTTACAGTTATACGCGTTTGGCAACAATAATCTGCTCCAGTTGGGCATTGGACGCGACATGCAAGTGTCGCTGCAGCCAATGCTGGTGCGCGCCTTCGATGGCAAGAACATAACGATCATCGAAGCTGGTCAATATCACAATGTGGCGGTGGCGGATGGACTCCTGTACACCTGGGGGTTAGTGGGCAGCGTTTATAACTGGTATATTTGAATTTAATTTATTTACTTTTACAGTTGGGGTATTTATGGGCAACTTGGCCATGGAAATTGCGAGAATGTGGCCGAACCGAAAGTAGTTGCTTTCTTCAAAACGAAAGTAAGCATCTGAGATGGTTTTCTTTAATCGTAAAATTACATTTTTATGTTCACAGAAAGTACTCCAAGTATCCTTAGGGCATGCGCACAGCGTGGTGCTCTGTCAGACGCCTAATAATCCTAACGCCACCGAATTATATGTATTTGGTTCCAATCATTTTGGTCAGTTGGGTATTGGCTCTGGTCCCAGCGGCGTCGAAGGACTTTCGACTGACGATGAAATGCATTGCGCTAGTCAAGTGAAGAGTTTAGTGCCCATTAAACTGTTCGTTTGCGACGAAAGAATAAGACTGATACATACCAAATTTTTTTCTAACGTAAGCACTCTCCCTCTCTAACGCTCCTTTCTCACTTTCTAAGCATTTTCACGCATTAATTGCAGTTAGCGGTAGATGATAATGGACGCATGTACACGTGGGGCTCCTCGCCGCAAGCTCTGCGCTTAGCCAACCAAATAAAGCGTCGTGCAAATGCGAAGCAAAAAATGGAGGAACATCAACGGCGTGAAATGAGCAAACAATTCGAGGCTACATTGCCCAGTGAGAATGCAAGCGTACCCTGTCCATCGTCCACATCCAAAAGCGCATATGCTGAGGCGCCAAAATCTATGGTCGCTGACGTTGCCAGCAGCATACTAACGGATATAGTGGACGAAAACCCATCCACAACCGCCAGCAAGACCGCTAATATTGTTCAGGAGACTGACGCGGACTTAGAATCGACTACAGACAACGCCTTTAAAGAACCGGAACTCATTGCAGTTTTAGCTACCACTGTTACGGCCGAGCAAGAAGAGGTTGATGAATTGAAAGACGAAGGCGTAAAGGAAACAATTGTAGAAGGCATTGCCAACGCTGAAACCGAGATAACCATACAGTTAGTGAACGAAGTAGTGGAGGAGTTTGTCGAAGAAGTTAAACCAATGGTCGCTCAACCGCTCAAATCATTAAACCCTTTGACATCAGCTACCGGTGAGTTATCGGCAAAGCACGCACATACGCCAGCGCCAACAATAGCTGTCACGGCGCCTGCAACGGCAACGGCAAACACAACAAATGTTACGACCGAAGTCGATCCTTGCGAGCACATGACACCGCATCTGGTAGACACCACCGAGGTAGCCGGTCAAATTTTGCAGGTACATTAGTGATATCAATTTTTTTGTCTATATTATATTCTTTTATGGTTGTTAATATGTTCATATTTCCCGTCACAGATCTCAAGCGGACTCTTCCATTTTGCCTTGATCTCGTCTACTTGCACCCTGTACACTTGGGGCAAAAATTTGGAACACCAACTTGGTACTGGCGATAAGGAGCGACGTGCGGTCAGCAAACCCTCACCCGTCGATTGTGTCGACAGTCCCATGTATGTCGACTGCGGTGCAGATTTCACGCTCGTCATGACCACAGAGTTTATGGTCAAAGCGTTTGGTGGCAACTCAAATGGACAGGTATGACTATATATGTTTATACTCTCGCCAGACATGTGCAGGGATCCAAACAAGGTTATATGGCAGACATAACAGCCCTATACCGGATAAAATCCTGGTCAATTCCAGTAACGTAGAACCGGCTGTTGTGGGAATTGCACCAAATACGGCATCTATCTTTAAGTGACTTCGCTGACATTTAATTTTGCGGTTTCCACCAAACAGGGTCTATATCATGATAAACCTGCAATGGATTCCAGGACATAGTAATAGAAGCAGATAAACTAGACAAAACAGACACCACCTTACATTTAGAATAAATATAGCGAAACTATAATGACTATTGTAAAAGCTGTCAGGAGGTAGAAGAGGAAAAGACTATAAAACATCTTCTATGCGAATGTAAAGATCTGTATAGAAAAATAATCGAAACCATCGGTCGAAAGTTTCTTGACGATATTTCGGACGTTGCACAGATACAGATTTTTGTACTGATGAACTTCATCGGAAGTACGGGGTGGTTCAGATAGGAGACAATAGAGTGAGGGGATCTGAGTCTCGGTTGTTTCACAATGGGCCTCCTGAAGCCCTAGGTGTGTCGTCAGACACCCACTCTACCTACCTACCTATCTATTTACTAGACCACAACTTTACACCTTCAAATCTTGTAAACTGCGTTGAAATAAAAATTATTGTATAATATATATTCGGCTTCATTTCAACTTATTTCTTTTTTATTTTTACTTTTTTTTTTTGGTCTAACCTATAAAGTATTTCTCACCCAACAGTGCGGTCGTGATCTTGGACCTTCCATCGATAAGATGAAACAACGCGTTGTCTGTTTGCCCACCACCAAGCGGCTAATGCGCTTCGAGAGTCAGTGTGTCGATGTGCCGGTGGAAATCAATTTGCCACGCCCACGTATACGTTTGGAATTCGAACCGGTGCGTTATTTGAAGAGCATACCAAAATACCAACCACGATTCATGCAAGAAGATGGCATAAATTTCGACAATACGCGTAACTTTGAACGTCCCTCACCTTCGAATCAGTACAAGTCGACAACGCAAGCCGACAGTAGCGAAAATGTAGTTACCGGCCAAGACTCGGACGATATGATCTCAAGCTTAGAGAATTTAAGTAACAATGAAGCGAACGATGGTTGTTCACTGAACTTCTCATTGCTGCCCTCCTCGGGTGCAGCGGGTGCGCTGCCACTTGCCGCGGCTACGGCGGATGATGCGCAACACAGCGCTGCTGTTGATGATATAACACCCGACGAGCAGAGCTATGCGCGCCTGCCCATCACGGATAATTCCGATGCCAGCTGTGTTTGTGTGGCCGGTCAGCAGAGTGCCGAGCAATGTCCGTTAGTGGCAATAGCAAAGCACGATGCAAACGACGACGCACAGACACCAACACAAGCGGCCGGCTCACAGAGCACGCTCACTTCGAATGCGCCTGTGGAGGCTGAGGAGAGTGTAGAGGATGATGCGAATCTGCAACAGTTGCGACAATACATACACTATTGCCTCTATGTATTTCACGGTCTCTACAATCCGGACAAGGTGTGCGACTTCTCCAAAGAACGTCTGGAGTATCGTATACGCACGCTTATGTTGAATTTCAAATTCGTCGATGCATTCGTATTGTGTTTGCAGAATTGCAATAGTGCCAGCAAGGCGTTGAAAATTTTCGCATACTTCTCCAAAGACACCGGCTCCGTGCCGCTGCGTCGACAGGACGTGAAGTACTTAATTTACTATTTGTTGAAACACTTCATGGCGCAGAAGTTCGATATGCTCGAATGTGAGCGTTTCTTTTTGGGCGATCTCGATTATTATTTGCTTGAGTTGTCGTATGTACTGTTCTTCAACAACAACAACACCATGCTGGAGCGTAACTTAAATGACAAATTCAAGATTTACTTTGCGCAGGAGCAGTCGCAACTGAATCAAAATCAAAACGACGATGAGCAGGTGCAACACAAGCTGGAGGACACGGATGTGATATTCGATAGCCTAAGTGTTAAGTTCAAAACAATCGTTTGCCAGAGGCTGATGCAGCACTGCAACAATTAGTTGCTGGTGCTTAGCACCATTAGTTTAACTTGTTTTTAATTTATTGATTCGTGATATGAGTTGTTTTTTTTTATTTTATTATTATTTTCTTTAGTTCTTTCGTCGTTTTTTATTGTATTCAAATTTACATCTTACTTATGTATATATATATATATTTGTTTTAACGAGAAAATGTAATATAACTTTATATATATATATATTCGTTTATACCTCATAAATTATATGCATTATTGCTGTGTTTGCGTTGACTTTATTTTATTCTCATTTCTCCTTTAAATACCTCGTACTGCCCATGAAAGTTCCCTTTTAAAATATTATATATAATGTAAGCGAGTGTAAGTTGATAAATTTTAGGTAAGATTCAAAGCTTCTTAAATGTATTAATGTAATTGTTTTGCAATTTATTTTTGCCGCATTCATTGCCATTTTTGCTTTGGAAATGACGGTTCGTGGCATATTTAGTCTCCTTTCGGTTGAATTAACTGTCGGATTTTAGTCGTACTTTTTCTGTTCTCATTAATTTACTTTATTTCTTATAAAACAAAAAAAAAACTTAAAATCACATTTTTACATATCTTTTTTTTATTTTTTACGTTTTTCACATAAATTTTCCCATTAATAGAAATTTTTACACATTGCTTTTAATTAATTTTTATATGATATTAAAATTTAGTAAAATTTTGTATTGTGAAATATTTTATATAAGTAAACTGTTTTTTTTTCAATTACAATCAAAAACATGTTGTATACATTTTTTTTTATTTGTGAATGGCATTAAAGCTTCGGTGCAATCGAAGCTAACGTAGTTTTTTTTTAAGATTTATTTTTAGTTTAACAAATTTTACAGTTGTGTAGCGCTTAATTTATAGAAGGATTACCTGCCAATATGTTTTGGACTTTATAAGTTAACTACAAGCAGCATTCCCATAAAAAAAATTTTCTGAGTTTATTTTCCAATTTTTTTTTTTCTGAAAAAATTCTTTCGCACCTATGTTTAGTTCCGCTGTTTTAAATATTGCATATATGGTATATAACTACATACATACAACTACATAGACATGTATAAGGCACCCACTAAATACTCAATTCTGAGGAGATTTCAAAGATAAACACCACGTAGATAAATAACCAATTACTTTCTAAAGCACATAGTTAAATATATACCGTTAGTAAAAGGACATGAGAATCGATAAATGCAACTACGCATTTAAATTAAAACTTGAGGTTAGTTTCTAAGTTCGCTTTTTCTAGCGATTTGTGCTTTACGCTTAATGCGCCTAGCAAATAATAAATTAAAATATAAAATAAAAGAGGAAGTATACAAAGCTAGTAGTAACTATATAGTCAAACTTGCTTTGCTTTATTGAACTGTTTTTCAACGCATAAGTTTCAATTTTTTTGCCTAAAATGTTTTGCAAAAATGAAATTGCTTTAAATTTTTTACACAAACGATCATTTAGTAAATAATTTGCATATAAAATATTGTATAAAAAATACAAACTAAAACAATATTACAGTCAAAACTATAGTAACTATAAAAAGCATACACAAATTTGTACACATCCATAAATACAACGGTTTTGTACGTTGACAGCTTGTGATCTTGGAAATTTCCAGTTACACATTATTATTGAAAAACATGCAATTGAAGATGTAGGAGTTCAGCAAAGAAGACGCAAATAAACAAGTACATACATACATACATACATAAAACATACCATAAACATCATAAAATATAGTAATAACTATCAAGAATTATAAATAAAAAATATAAACGTTTTTTCCTAAATAAATAAAAATAAATTTCGTAAAAAACAGTTCCGCACTCACTTAAATACTTTTTCAAAACTTTAATGCAGTGAACAAAATATATATTAAATCCTATTAGTTTATCACTACGCATTCATTTATTTGCCATCATTTGCAAAATCCCGAGATTCAAATCACAAAAGTATGGTTCTCCAAACCGGTGCAGCACTATAATTTTAACTTAATATTTTCCGTGGTCCAGCGCTTTGTTTGCAGCGTTTTCAGCGCTTTTTCACAATAGAATTGTTCTTCAGAACGCTCCGGCAAAGTATCCTTTAATTGCGTCAATTGATTTGCATCCTTCATGCCAGCTAACGCATCGACAACCGCACGCACGCACTTAACACGCTTAGCCAATTCCAATTTCTCTGTAGTATTACTCATTTTAGATAGAAACATATAGAGCACACTAGTGGGCGCTTGCAGTGCGTATAGACGCAGCACTGCTAACTCTAATGAGAAACTTATGTGGAATTGCTTTTGTTTCAACGGCAGCCAAGCGGGCACACGTTCGAATACATTTTCTAAATCGGCATAGGCCTGCGCATTCGCACGTTCATTCAAAGCAGTCCACTCGAATTGCGCCTGTGAAATATGGAGATCGGAACTCAGACGAAAAGGTGACGTTGCTCGTGTCATATCCTGTTCCTTCCAGTTGCTGTGCTTCCGACAGCATTGATACAGCACCTCAATGGGGGTTGAATTAATATTCACCAGATTGTCAAGTGCATTACGTTCCTTTTCGATCAGCTCAAGCAGCTTTAGTGTTGCTTCAAAGTGGGGTAAATAGACGCTAACTACACCCATGTCACCGCTATATTGATCGAGTAATTGTAATAATTTTTGCTTGCGCTGTTGCAAATTATTACATGACATAGCAGATTTGAATTGTATTAGTGATGCTTCTTGATGTTTGCCAAAGTGTTGTAGCACTTCGACAGCTTCTTGGCTCTGACGCTGCTGCAAGTAGCCGATATAACTTTGTAAGGCTTGCGGTCTTTGCTCGAGAATTTTGAGAAAATTTTTGCGATTCAATGTTTTTTTTAGGAAAAGCAACACGCCAATAACGGCATCACCGCCGCCACACTTCAGCACTGCATCTAACAATTGCTCTTTTTCGTGCATTGATTTAAACACTTCCAAAGGCGCACATTTGCCAAGCAATAGTTTGTACGCGGTGGCTTCTGGTGAGGGATTGTAAAAAGTCGTTTGTATTTGCCTTCGAAGCAAACGCAATTCTTCTTCCGGGGCAACGCCTTTCGACATAATTCGGTCATCAAGCGTTTGCTCTTGAATTAGCATTTTCAATGCTTCCTCGGAGATTACAGATTTCACTGATAGATTTAGTGCACTGCCTGCAGCACTATTGTCGAAACTCGCCTCTGAGATCGTATCATAATCGTTGAGTATATTGCTGACGTTCACATTACTACCAACAACAGTTACACCCTGCACATCCTCATCATCGTCGAAACTGAATCCTCTGCTCGACGAACGATTCCAATAGCTTTCACTGTCAAATTGGTCCATTATGTACTCTGCAGCGAATCCCTTTGTTTTTAATCCAGCACTTCTCGATTGCAGTTAAACAGCTGTTTTCTGACAGCTAACTAATTGTTTACGGAAGTTTGCAACAAAGTGAAACGGAAAATCATGCGTATGATATACGTTCTCTGCTTACAGCAGGTTGCAGCAGAGAACGTAAAATATACGTTCTCTGGTTGCAGTATGCGTGAAAATATGTTTATAAAAATAATTAAATGAAACTAAAACAATACTTTCATATAAAATTTTTTTAAATTAAATTAATTTAAATTTAAAATTATTGAGGGATTTTCCATTACTTACAAGCGAAGGGCAGCCTATATTGTAATATTTATATATTTCCCGCCTACCAAGACTACATTTATTTATTTGGAAAAGGCATATGCACGTCAGAGGATAGTTCAAGTTGCAACAACAATGACAGGAAACTATACGAAAACCGTTGGATTGAATGTCAAAGTTAAGTTACTTGCTTTTGCTCTCATGTTAAAATCGTCCATTTATCTTCTTACCAGCAAAATCGTTGTATGTATGTGTTCTCGTTTTTTATAAAGTCCTGTGCTCTTTTTGTAATAATTTAAGAAAATGTTTCCCCGCAGTATCTGCTGCTCAAGTAAACAATGTGACAGTCAGGCAGTACAATTATAGTAAGTTCACAAATAATGTTAGTTTTAAATATTTTATTATAAATATATTTATGCATGCATTTAGATTAGGCAACCAGAACATATAACCTCTATGTTGGGGAGCCTTCGAGAAATTATGTGAATACAGTTACCGACTTTTACTTAAACCTGGTATGTTAACAATGGTATATATGTGTATGCTTAAACAATTTCAAGCAATCATAAATTTAAATTTTATAATTTAAGTCCAAAGTTTTCAACCGAGTTCCGAATTTGTATCTTATATAATTGTAAAATATGTATACAAAATGGCTAATAGCAAACAGCGAAATTTTAACTATTCACTAATACAACTTCTTCTCTAACGCATAAGTTTTGATCAAATTTTATACCCTGAACAGGGTATGTTAAGTGTGCCATACAATTTTTAAATTTATCTATCTGTCTATATATATAATATGTTCGCCAAGTCCCTCGTCAGTTTCTCCAAAAGAAGCTGCTTATAACATATAGCTCAATACAAACTGAACGATCAAATACATATCCTTGTATGGAAAATCTTTTTATTCGACAAAATATCTTGACGAAATTTGGCATTGTATAATATTCAAAGAAATACAAATCTGTGAATAATAAAAATTAATATAACTATTTTTTTATACCTTTTTTGGTTATAAGAAATACACCAGGAAGAGTATTATTGCTTCGGCCGAAGTAAACGTTTTTTCTTGTTTTTTTACCTATAATTATTAATCTAGTATCTCTTTAGGTCCATTAAATCAATTGTCTGTGAGTATTGCTGAGCCCTCGGAACCCATTTGTGGTAAGGAAGATGACGAGGAATGTTATTTATCTAATTCCGATGTGACATAAGCTCAAAGGCTTCAGGTGCTATTTAATTTATTTGTATTCCTTTCAATTTCTAATCGCACTTTTTTATATGTAGGCAGTGAAGCTACAGCTGTGAAAAAGCATATGAGAAATAAACGTGTACTGAAGAGAGTCAATTATCAAAAGAGAAATTAAAATATTTCAGTAGGACTACAACAAAACAAGCTGAAAGTCTCATTCAGTCGAACAATCGAATAAAGAAATGGAATGATCACGTACTCGAAGTGTTGGAAAACGTGGTCAATGACATCGGAGCCGAATAATGTCTACCACACATGACCAACGATTATAAATAAACATAAAGAGTTTTAAAGTGTAAAAAGTTGCTAGAACTCCTATAACTGCTATATATATTCAGCTCACAATATGTATGTATGTGCCATAATAGACATGGTTGGGCAAAGCAGCATTTGATTTTAATTGTATCAATTTGGATCTCGAACGATCTCTTTAAAGGATAGCATCCACTTGTGAAGTTTTAAATGTTTGAAGTTTAGGTTAAAAATTGTTTAAAAAATGGGAGTGGCCCCACCCTCTAAGGGCTTTAATATGCATATCTCTAATCTACCAAATTCGCCCATAAGAACGACTACCGAAAATATGGAAAGGATGAAATCAGATTATAACCTCGCTCTCTCATTAACTACCATAAATGCGCTAGGGACATTAAATTTTACACACAGGATGATAAAAAGGGTTTTATAGGAGCCGGGGTCAAAACTGTCTCGTGGCAACGCCTACACATATCACATAGCAATTGGACTTGATTTGTGTACTGAAATGTGAAGTACTAAGACGGAATTTGAACTTGTGCTACATGGGAAGTAGGTACAACCACGCCTACTTCCCATGTAGCACAAGTTCAAATTCCGTCTTAGTACTTCACATTTCAGTACACAAATCAAGTACCAATGAATATATTTGGATACTATTTTGTATAAATAGTGCATTTGAGTGCCATCTCGAGTCTAAAAATTGTCAAACTCGGAATATAATTAATCAAGTCTCCACATACCGAATATGTGGACCCCAGTGTGTATGGCTGACTTTTTGTCGAAAATATCGGTCAATGTTATTGAAATTCGGAGAAATATTTTCGAACTTCCAGTTGACTTTATACCACATATATCGGCCAATGCGGTAGCTATATATAATTATTTTGTCTTGGTCTAAACCCTATATTCTTAATATAACGAATTCCGATCTATTGGTTGAAGTTTTTCTTATTAACCCAATATAGTAAATTAAGCCTCTTCGGTTGAGTTTATGTCACTTACATATAATTTGAAGAAGTAAAATAAAGTAATACTTGTACAACTAAGTGTTATATTTAACTACTAAGTTTGCCACGAAGTTTGTAACACCCAGAAGGAAACTTCGGAGACCCTATAAAATATATACATAAATGATCAACATGACGAGCTGAGTTGATTTAGCCATGTCCGTCTGCCTGTCCATCTGTCTGTATATATACAAACAAGTTTTTAAGCTATCGATATGAAATCTCTCACCTGTCCTTTTTTCACTAAGAAGCTGCTCATTCGTCGGAAAGGCCGATATCGGACTACTATAGCATATAGGTGCCATACAAGCTGAACAATCGGAATCAAGTTCTTGTAAGGAGCCTTTGTATTTGTGAAGGGTATTATAGCTTCGGTGCAACCAAAGTTAACGATTTTTCTTGTTTAATATGAAGTTCTGACAACACCTGATATAAAATGTTCGGTTACATCCGAACTTAGGCCTATCTTACTTGTTTAGTTTATTTTTTTTGTTGCGTAAAAAGTCAACTTACAATTTGTCGACGTTTTATGTCGTATACTTCTGCTTTAAAGATTAAACAAGTTTATTTTCGCGTAAATTTATTTGATTTAAGCTTAATTTTATTAAAAGTACTCTTATTTAATATTATATTTTTCTTTTAAAATAAAATACAGTTTTAAGTTCGTTAACCAACTTAAACAATACCATATATAAATATTTTGTTAAGTATTAACTCTTTTATTTACTAGAGAGATTACTTTTTTTTATTTGTTTGTAGCACAAATAATTTAATTTATTGATATTTTTAATACGAGTTAATACGATAAAGAGTCGTCTTACTTTTCAACATAATTAAAATATTATATATAGAAAATTATTCTTTTCAATATTTTTCTTGCTTAAACAAATGCTCGCACAACCGATTCGCTTTGCTAAATTGCAAAAAACTATACAGCAAAACGCTTTATAATATCGTCAATGATGATCACTTAAACATATATAATTGTATATACCTTTTGATTTTCTTGACATAGATATATGTAAGGTTTTGAATTTTATTACATTTATGTAAGCTGCTAAGTAAAAAATAATATAACCGCTTCGAAAAATAACTCATTTATGTCTTTTGAATATATCACTTAGAATGTTTAGCTTAGCTTTTATTATTTTATGTGGTATAAATATGTATATAAATACATACATATATTACAAGTATATAACTGTATACATATTATTTGTCTTATTGTTTGATTCAGCAATTTTTTTGAGCATTTGCGCCTAATGCGACTAAAAGAGAAGCACCAAACATATGGAATTTAAAAATATTTCTAAACGAGCTATGTAATTGGACCGGTGTATATAACATAAATTTTCAAATAATATACGGTATTTTTTATATACATACATAAATAACATTTCTCACTCCCGAATTTTTCGTAGAAAAATAGTTATTGTAAAACTTCTTATACATTTCCGGAACTTTGCGCACAAAACTATGCTACGCTACACGCTAATAACAGAGCACACGTTGACTTAAATTACATAAGACCCACAATTTATATTTGTTTATTGGGTCTTGAGGCAACTTAAACGCTAAGTTGTTGCAAATTCGAAGATTTGTGTTTGATTGCCATAAACTTAAGTCTAATAATAATGCAGAAGTAAAAATGCTGGGCACATTTTATCAATTTCTTTCATGAAAATACATTTTCGCATACATTTCGCGAGCACCGTAGCACTTACAAATTCTTAGGTGTCAGGCGTTCAGCCCTCATTGTCCGGCGAGGCTTTTGCTGTTGATGTGGTGACAGGTTCCACACTGGCGTCCGGGTCATTTGTCGAGAGATCTTTGCCCGATGAGATGGTCGAGAGTGGACGCACTGGCGCTGCTGCTGGTGCTGCCGTTACTGGTGTCGCCACCGGTGCAGTTGTCGCAGCTATTAACGCTGCTGCCACTACGGGCACCACAGTCGGCCCACCATCTATGCCGGGCGCTGTGCTGATTGTGCGTGCCAGCTTCTGCTGTTGTCGCTGCAAGCGTTCCTTTTCGCGCGTTGCTTTCAATTTGTCGAAGTCGTCGCCCTCGTCCTCGACGCCGGGTGCATCGGTTGTGGACTTCGTGTCCATGTCATCGACTGTGGGGCGAGAGTATTAATGTATGGAATAGTTGATTTGTTTAATAAATTGTAGTATTGTTTTCTAAATACCATGCAATTAAGTGGGCTTTAATACATATTTTGAATATTTTTGAGCAATTTGAGAGCAAAGTTTTAGAAAAAGCTTTGTTTACATACAGAGTATGTTAATTCATTAGTTTTGACTTGGATGACTTTTGAGGAAGACATCTAAGTATTTATCAAGTATTTTTATACCCTGAACAGGAGACCATATAAAATATACACATAAATGATCAGCATGATGAGCTGAGTTGATTTAGCCACGTCCGTCTGTCTGTCCCTCAGTTTTTGAGCTATCGATGTGAAGTTTTGCACCTGTCCTGCCCTCACTAAGAAGCTCATTTGTCGAAGCGGATCCACTATAGCATATAGCTCCCATACAAACTGAACGTTCGTAATCAAGTGCTTGTTTGGAAAATTCTTTTATTTGACGAAGTATCTTAGACAAAATTAAGCATGGATTATTGTCTAAGGCAATAATGTATTATCCGAAGAAATTGTTCAGATCAGATCACTATATCATGTAGCTGCCAACATAACGATCGGAAACAAGTTCTTTTTAGGAACCTTTGTATTTGTGAAGGGTATTAGTTAAACATTTTTCTTGTTTTTATTTTACATTTTATTTTTTCCATTTAAACTATGCGCACAAACCGATTCAACAGAATTTTTTTCGTAGATTAGTACAACTAGACCAGGATAAATAATTTTTGAAAGCAAAAAAAAAAGTTGTAGTAGGTGGAACCCATTGCACAGAAAGACAAAATAACAAAATGAAAGCAAAAATAAATTACTGACTATTTGAGGTCGTGGAGAGGAAGAGTAGAAAGGAGGGGCCTGGTTGAATTGTTATGGGTTAAAACCGGTTTATATTGATTTCCGACAAAACTCCGAGTCCTATAGAATAAAGTTAAATGACCTAGTTGTAAGTAATGAAAAGATCTACAACTTTTGAACAAACACCCCTTTCCATAACCTCAAACCTTTGAGAAAAATTAAAATAATTTAGTTTTTGGGTTTTTATTTTTATTTATTTGGCGTACTTACCTTCTTATGACCCAAACACACTGTATTTTATTTAATTTACAATATTTATTTTTCATTTTGACTTAATATTGGAAGAAACCCTAAATTTCAATCGAAAATGTTCCCGTCAAAATTTCTGCGTTTTTAAAAAGTCAGTAGTCGGTCTTAAATTGACACAACATGTGACGTTTGATCTCAATTAAGGTGTGTTTGCGGATGTTTGTTTAAGATGTGAAAAGTTTGTCTGTTGAGCTATACCATGGAAAGAAGTTTAACAACGAGTTTACTTGAAATATTGTATTTCAATTGGAATCGCGGCTACGGAATCGTTGAAAATTTTGTAGCGTGTCAATGCTGGACTCATATTAAATTACTTAAATCTTTTACAAAAATGGCGTTAAGTAGAGGTCGCAAAACAGATGCTTGATGATGTTGAGGACTCTACATTCCTCAAACGCATCATTACTGATGACGAGGCGTGGGTTTTTGAATAAGATGTGGAAGCTCTCCAACAATATAGCGAATGGCGCTACAAAAATGAGCCAATACTAAAAAACCAAATTCGCTGAAGGTATGTTTAACGGTTTATTCGGAAGGAAGAGTAGCTTATGTCGTTAATGACACTTTGAAAATTTAGACAGTTTGATTTTAAAAATTACTCTAAATTTGTTTGTTGGTATTTAAGAAAAAAATAATGATTTAAAAATATTATATTTCAAATTAAATGTTTTAGTTTCAAGCACTTTATATTATTCTTCCATAGATTGAAATTTAATATGCAAAAATACACTTACAACTCGTCGATTGCTCAAAAATACACAAATTATTAACTGAAAACACTACCAGGTCTGTCAAAATTATACTAATATATGTACTAAATATATATTACATATAATATTGCGCAGATATAAAAAGTTAATGTTTTATTTGTAGGAAAACTTTGACCAATTAGAAGGAATAATATACTCGTTCTAAGACAGCTAGAGTTTCAAAGGAGAGAGTAAGTATATACATACTTGTACATATTTTAGTCTCAAAATTAATTTCAATACAATATATCTAATTTAATATCAAATTTTTTACAGTTTTAAAATTTGAGCTACAGTAATATAACAACAAATATTTAATTTAGTCCAATAATTATGATATTCTAGAAATGAAAGGAATGGTTTGTGAAAACTGAAGTGCGATATATGCTCTATTGACCCTACTGGAAACGCTTCTATGTACCAATATGGTATTTTTAAAGTTATTTTACCATTTGCTAGAGTTAAAATTTTCGAATCTTGTTTAAAATATTATGGATAGAACTCTATCAAAGATCAGCATAGTTAGGTTAAGTTTCGAGCTGCTACTTGGATGTAACACCAACCCTTTGTGATGTGAAAATAACTACTATCGAGATTAAGAATCTTGAGACCCTTGTGTATCGAATCGAAGGTAAGACATCCGAGACGTTTGAACCGAAGTTTAGCAAAATCGGGAAGTTGGGAAAGAGTGGAGAGATAAGCTTTCACCTCGCATTCCTCCAACTAATTTTGACAATTTGGTTTAAAAATATTTTGCTTTACCGCATGTTTTCCCAACTACGCACTCGTGCTCTGGTGAAGTGATATCGTCTAGTACCATATTATATTTAATCAATTTAATTTATACAGATGGCAATAAAGTCGTTGAAGTAAGAAGATATATTAAATTTGTTAATTGTAGACTTTAAACAATCAAACATGATACTAGTGGGCCTTAGCCCAAGCTTTATATGTCCTTTATAAATGCGTACTTAAATTTAGGTCGCTGGGCACATAAAAATATAGATCCTTGTGGAAAATTGATTTAAACTCATACAATAGAAACACATTAAGGAAAAATTGAGTTATTTAAAATGATCTGGCGAAATGTTTAGGCCTTGAAACTTCAGCTTTATCAAAATTCGGTTGTTATTTATACAAAACAATAGTAATAAAATAATTAGTTGTTGTTGTAACGGTTACCTAATCCCCATTTGGGTGATAGGTTCCAGATTGGTTGTCGTCGAGGTCATCTAACAGGAGACCCAGGAAACGAGCTGTTTCGACGGGGTCGGACCATAAGGAAAAAAATGTTAGATGAGTGGTGTTCGTTGGGCATGCAAAGAGGTGAGAAACTGCTTGGAGAGGAGCTCGTTATGTTCCTTAACCGGAAGAATACGGGCCTCACTGTGTAGGTGTTCGATTGGGGACATCAAGAGGCATCCCGGAGTGCAGTGTTCTGACAGGTCTGGAGCTTCTTCGTCTGCGTAGCACTACATCCAGGCGACCATATTGAGGCTGCATAGTTTAGGACCGGTCGGCCGATTGCCTTGTATGTCGCCAGCAACGTTTCTTTGTCTTTTCCCCAAGAGCTGCCGGTTAGCGATTTGAGGATTTTGTGGCGGCTCTGTACTTTGGCAGTTATCGCAGTCGTGTGAGGAGTGAAGGAGCAAATACTGTCTAGTGTAACGTCTAAAATTTTAGGGTTGTTTACCGTCGTAATTTTGGTACCATCGACTGAAATGTTTAGATACAGTCTGTACTCCTTCGTCCAGTTCGTAAATATGGTCGCTGTGGATTTAGTGGGGGAGAATGTCAGACTCCTTGCAGAGAAGAAGCGCGGAAGTTCGGAGAGGTCACGGAAATTCGCTCTGGTGGTTGTGGGAGTTTCGAAACGTAGAAGTTAAACAGTAGAGGGGAGAGGACACCACCCTGCGGAACCCCCTGTTTAATTCTTCTCAGTTTGGAGTTTTGACCTCGAAACAGTACGGATGAATGCCGACCGCTCAGGTAGTTCATAGTACACCGCTTCAGCTAAAATAATTAGTAGTTTAAAGGAGTAGAGTAGAAGTAGTACAATATAATCATCTCGATCCAAATAAAATGTACGATAGTATGCTGTTATACTTGTTCCTTAGCACACCAGTACCTTCACTATCATAAAATAGAATAGTCGGGTTAGAACGTTATATCAGCACACCTACTTTTGGCAAAGACCTCAGCTTAAATTATGCTCTGAAAACTGGCTGACAGTTTGGTTTTTATTTCAACTATCCCAACAGCTTCCGCTATCCTGAAACTCTCGATATACCACTGTTCGGTGCTTCCTTTGAGATGCTCGTTAAAGCGAGATTTTTAGCAAGAGAGCGCAAGTTGAGGTAGGAAGTAGTGGATAATGTATAGTATAGTAATAGGGAATTAATACGTGAATAAATTGCTAATGTAATAAATTCATGTGTCATTGAATCATTATCATACTTCAATCGTTTACGATTCGTCAGCCCACTACTATTTATCTTTACTATCATGTAAAAAAATGTACTTAAGAACAAACAACAACAAAGTACTTTATTTGAATTTGATATATACAAGCTTATATATCAAATTCAATTACTACCTCTTTAAGGTAGTATAACCTCAAGCTGGAGAGTAGAGATGGAACTTAATTATGTACATCTATTAAATGTATGCCAGTTGTATATTCGATTCACGAATTAAAGCAACTTTTATTGACTTTTTTAAAAGCTAGAAATTCTATTTTCCACAACACAATATCCAAGGCTAACGAAAAGAGAGAGCAAATAGTAATGGGTGTTTTTTAGACATGTGGTTTTCAAAAATCAATAAAACGCTTATTATTTAATGTTATGACCAAGAATTTAGCCCTATGATAAAGATAAGGGTTTGCCATTATGTTTTAAAAGTTATTTCGGGCAAGTGGCCACTGCAGGTGTCCAGCGATGTTAAATTGCACGATCTTGGAGGCCACGTCATATGCCCACGATGCAAGATAATGCGATACCCAAAAGTTTCATTCAATAAATTGATTGTTTTGTTGGCTGTATGGTATGTATCGCCGTCTTGTTGCCTCTGCCCATTGAGCACACCATACGCTGAATTTTTGAGGATGGCTTGTTGATTATCTTCACACCAAATGGGACTATTCTGTTTTTAACGTAGCCATTCAACCAAAAGCGAACTTCATTGCCAGACACAATTTTCATGTGATGATTCGCGCTAAACGAACCACTATTTTGTTAATAAATTTACAAATGTAGTTCGGGAATAAGTCTGTTTATTATGAAATGACAAACCAAACTGAGTATACATCAAGTAAGAGCTGTCAAAAAGACAAACTCATTGAAAAACACACATCTAAAAAAACACCCTTTAAATGAAGTTAGTATGAAAGGGAAAGGTTACGTAATTTCTAAGCAATTGAGCACATAACGAAACGCAACATAAGGAATTAAAATCAAAACCAAAATAAAAACAAAAACATGCCAATAAACATTTGAGCAAGAGTCTACATATATGGTATATGTACGTACATACAAGTACATACACATACATACAAACGCAGTTAGGGAAGGGAATAAGAAGAAGCATAAACACTTTTCTCACTACCAAGAAAAGAACAACTAAACAACAACAAAATTAAGCAAAGTAATACAAATCTTAAAAAAAAGTTACCAGTCGACAAATACCATCTGAAAATCTGCGGCACTTCTGGGGGACGTTCTACTGTTGTTTGTCAGAACAAAAAAGACGATTAAATGAAAATGAATGAATTTTGCTAAAGTAGATATATAAATGAAGAAGTTCTCATGCAGTTGGATTAACGAAACTTACCCTGCTCGCGACTGCCCTTATCCGTATTCACTTGTCGATCGAAAAGTGATTTGGTGCTAGAGGGATCCGCCGGCGAATTCGGCACAGTTTGAACCATGCGTGGACTGCCATTCGTGGGCGCTGACGTGCTCAGTAAAGCCTCCACACCGCCTGGTGGAAACAGCGTCGGCTCGTAAGTGGATTGTGTACGCATATACGAAGTGGGCCGTTGCGGTATATCCATTGGTTCGGAATGCGCACCGTTGCTTACCGACGCCAATCCTGGCAAAAATATATCATGCAAATTTGGACGCACCTGATCGTTGGCTCGATGCGAAGTGATCGTGGTCTGTTCGTCCACTTCTTCGATGACTTGATCTGTGATGCGCAAACTACCGGGAGGTTTCGTAACTAAATTGCCCGTAAGACTGGCCGAGCTGGCGCTGCCGGGGAAGCGCATTTTCTGTGTGCCATCGTCGACAGGTGTCGTAGAGCCGGGACGCTCATCACGACTGAGGAAACGTTTTAGCGCCGAGGCCACCGTGTTGACGCGCGACAAAGTGCCACTTAGGCTGGCGAGGCTGGGAGAGGAGCCGTGTCGTACCTTGCCATTGCCGGCTGTGAAGTGTATGCCGCTGGCATCGTCGGCCTGTAGTCCACGTGGGTGAAATAAAATAATAAAGCAGATATGTTAGTAGGACTTTTTATATGATTCGCTGGATCTGTTGAATATGTTATATACAATGGTTGGATTCACCAGTAGTTGAATAACCAAAGCGATATAAAAAGACAGCCAATCTTAATAGTTAGACGTTGTGAAAACAGATATAGTGCGTGCAGTTAATATATAAATCCGTGAGAGAAAGACACTCACATAGCTGTGAGGTGCGTGCAGTTAAAGTGAAATCCCGGTCCTTGAAATGCGGTGAAGTGCAGTGATTAAGACCTAGTTAGATTTGAGTGCAGGCATTAAAAATGAACTTAAATGATAGTTTTATTGTGAAATATAAGGTACTTATAATTTAAGATATGAATGAACTTATATAACTCGGTTTTAGTAGATCGTACATCTTTTGACTGAGTTTATGAATATGCGGCTTTTTTAGTTTGCTCTAAAGTGACTTCACCAACTAACTAAAGGTTGAATCAGTACCTGTAGAATCAGGAATTTGCAGGCGCGATTGTCACCACTGACTGTTACTAAACTTGTATCTTTTTACTTTTTTAATAAAATGACAAATCCATGTTTATTTTCGATTTTTTTTTTTTAATTTGCGTCAGTCTAAAATTTGCATAAAATCCGGTTTTTGTTCTAGGCTTCTAAAATCATGAGCCATTTGGTAAAATCTCGAATAATATACTCCCTGTCCAACCAGCTGTAGTGCCGAAACGGTTGGGTTAGTCAAACAATCTTTATATCCTGAACAAGGTATGAAAAGTTTGCGACGAATATATTTATTTTTTTGCCACGATTATTTAAGTATATTGTATTCTGTATATGTACATTATTTTTATTTATTTATTAAATAAAATTCCTTTTAACTGCCATAACGTTAATCATAAATTTTAGTCGAATGAAAGCTCTATCGAAAAGGAATATAATTTGAGAGAACTCTGAGACACCCATAATTTGGAAAAATATTATATATATATACAAGTAAAGAAGAAACGGAACTCAATGTATCTTCTAATTAAATTACAAATGAAATGTTGTACCTATAAAAATTTACAGTACGACCACGATTTTATGCTCTTTCACAGATAAGCTGAAATTTTCGATACTTTTACATTAACCAGATGACACACTAATCATCATTATTAACTGTTACTCTCGATTGAGTTCAAAAAGACATTTCGTTTTAAAATTATTTAGCTGAGTTTTTTTTTAGGTAATGGACAATTTACTCTACTGTGTCGTTCATATAAAATAAAAAGGGGGTGACCTTGGCAGGTTAATTAAATTTAAACTGTTTGTTTGTCAATGACGGACCTTTAATCGAGGTTCTACTGTATGAGTAAAGATATTTATATGAATAAAATTTAGCAATGCATGCACTCAAATCTATTAAGTTGCTATTAAATTTACTTTTGTTGGCGCAAAGTGTACAGATAGTTCAAGCATTTGTACAGCTGTAGAAGAAGGAGAAAGAATCAGAATCAAAAGTAAGTTTTAAGATTTAGTATGTAAATATTTCTTTTGCTTTTTGTTTTTACGAGTGCAAAACACACCAATTGTATATGCATGTAAACGCAGACAATCCAAATCCGATAACTTAAATTTTGTTTTTGGCATTTTACATGCACCTACACATATACAGACATAGATAGTTAGCGATAAAATTGCGTAAAGAAGTCAATTTTGCAGCGCTGCATACGAACAGCAGTAAATTTCACACAAAATATTCAAATGTGATTGTAAATAATAACTAAGGCATAAAACCAATCACCAAATTGCATAAAAAAATGCAAACACTTATATTCTAGATATTAATAGGTAACTGGCGCTTTACAGTTGAACCGATTACCCATTGCAGTATCTATATAAAACACCAATACCAAATAGAATAGTCGAATAGAGCATTATAAAACTATGTGAAAATGCACACCAATCACCGTCTGTTATGGCCAATTATCAACCGCTTGCGATTGTTAACCTCAAAGTACTTTTAGTTACAAGTAGTATGTATGTTTGTTGTTGCGCTAGTAGGTACGTGCACAGTAAGTTTTTAGACAAAGACGTTAGCAACCAGTTGGTACTTTCTTTCGCGTTTTACGAGCGCTACAAGTTGTGGATAAGACTAGTGACGCCTGGACCACAGATTAATTATATGAGTTAGGTGTGAGTTAAATAAGCCAATTGTTTATCTTGCATATCAAATTGTAGTTATTGTTGTATAAATAGTTGAATTTGAGATAAAAGTTAAAGTTGTAATTGGCATTGTTCTTGCTGTTGTCGAACAATGCGTGTTGCCACTTAATGCATAGAGGAATTTTGATTCTAACCTCCTCTTCTTGTAACATTTCGGGAAATTTATAATTAACTGCTTGCATTGGTGTCTGTGTTTGGTCTGAATTTTGAGCTTGCTCATGTAAGGACAAACGCTTGGTTGACCCTCTGCTACCAACCATTTCGTCGATGCGCACGCTTGACAATGTTGTTGGCATGGCGGCTTTATTCGACACCTCGATTTTGGCCGTTGACGGTTCGGGATGCTCTTCGCGGAAACGTTCGGATGCCACCGTGTAGGGCAATTCGTTGGGGAACACTTCATCCCAATATTGATCCTTGATGAGTTCCGGATGGTCGTGATGCATTTCATCGACAATTAGATAGGAGACCTGTAGATTACGATCCACCATCCAGTTGACCTAGTTGTGTAGATAAAATATAATGTAATTAGAAAACGAATATATAAAAATTAACGAATCTTTAATCGCAAAGTTGATCTTTCTTTTACCTCAAAGTCATCGTCATCTTCACCGAACGGATTGATCAGCGACTCGGCCACTTTTAACCAACCCATATAGAAGAAGAACTGCAACGTTGTGAATACTGGAAAATATATATCGATCTTTTGAAAAGCCTGCTTATCCTCCGTCCACTGTTGACCCATAACCGAGCAAAGAAAAAACGAGTATACCGCCAATGTGACCACTTGCGTGTAAACGAGCGGCACACTGATCGTATCGTACGATATCAATAGACCACATTGACCGCGAAACTTATTCAATTCATCGATAATTGTTTTCACCGCAAAATCATCACGTATGCGTCCCTCCTTTCGTGCTCTTGTTATAATACTGGCCGCCCATACAATCGGTAACCAATGTTTTGAATGACGTGGAAAACCCTTATTCATACTCTCAATGATCGCCTTCTCATTATCATTCAAAAGACCGGCATCCACCAGATGTGTTAAGTCGGGAAATCGTTTCTTGACACGTGGCGATACATTGATCAAGACCATCGTCAGGCAGAGACAGGCATAACGCATAATCGTACGACGCATAACACGTCCACGTTCATCTTGCCCATGTACGTTGGAGCTAACGAAGACCGCAATCGGATCGGGCCAGGGAATGCTGGTGTATTGATTCCACCAACGTGTCATAACTATTGATACATAGAAACCCAACACGAATGAGAGCGGTATAAGATCGCTATAACTGTAGCAATATTTTGCAACGCCTTCGAATATTCTGTGTGGTTTCGGTGTGGAGGAAAATCAAAATAAATAATATTTAGTTGCGATTCTTAAGAAAGTCCGTTTGCGAAGAAAAGCATAAAACGTGATGTTAAAATAAACTTTTCGAAATTTTTTATATATAATTTATTGAAAAACTCTGGTCCGTAGTTAAAGTTAGAAAAAATGTCAATAGTACTGTATAATATAAAATTATTTCTATTTTAAATATATGTATATATATAATAAATTTAAATATAGTTAGTATTAAGTTTTTGTAAGTCCAGACAAAATAACACCGTAAAAATTACTCAAACACTTTTTTGTTAATAATAATTATTCGTCTCTTCGTATTCGTAAGTCTCAAATTCCTTTTTCGGGCTATAGGGAAGCTTTAAAATCTGGCTTCCAATTGCTGAAGTGACCTTTTGTTCTGATGTAACACTACAAACGTGAGCATGACACGGAGGATATCTTCCATTTTCAGTTAGATAAATTGGTAATTTTAATTTTCCCTAATAGCAATCTCAATTGCAACACTGTTGAAGTATCAACTATTTTTGGACAAATTTTGGAAAGTAAAATTTAAGGAAACATTTGATAAATAAATTAGACTCGTTTCAATTTCAATGCTGAAAGTCATGTAATAAATATAACAAAAAATTATCGACTATAACTGAGGTTGTCTCAACCGGTTACTTGACAGTACAATAATAGTTTGACATACATAAGTGTACATAAATAATGAGACCTTCATTCAAGTTCATTCAAGAAAATATTAAATCAGAAATATTAATAGCTTCTCGATCTATCAATGAAAAATGGACTCTCTAAGGATTAGGTTTGTCCCGTTCAATATGCATCGAACAAGATCAATGATAAAATATTCTTTCTTTCTTTTTAAAGTCATAAAAGAAACAAAAAAGAAGAAGAAGTTAACGCTTTTTTGTGAAGTTAGCGGTTTTCTTTACAAAGGAATTAACTGTCCTTTAAGCAATTTATTCTCAAAGTTTTAGAAAGTTAGATATATATGAAAGTAGAAGATAGAAGTAAATATATTTAAAAACCAGCAACTTCAAGCTACATCTTCATTTATGGCTGAAATATGGTCAGAGATAATTGAATGTTCTTATTTCAACAATTGGCGTCAACTAACTGAATTGCGTTTGATGACCGAATGCCTTCGTAATTAAATTTTTCTAAAAGCATACTTTTTATCTTACTTATTTTAAATAAAAAAAATCGTTTACTTTAAGAACCATTAAAATGTTTAAGTTTCTTAACGTTCACTTACGTTTTTTGATATTCATCTAAGCAGAAGCGATACACTATACTAAGTAGGTAGTAAAGAAAGAGAAATGCAATGAGATCCAGCCAAACCAGCTTGTAGATACTGCCGCGCCATCTGTGGAAAAAAATTAAAACATGTAAATTTGATTGTATAGGGAAATGTTGTGGAAGTAAGAAGAATATAAAGTAAGTATGTAAACAGTTACTTAAAGCTTATAGCTAAAAAATCTCCTATTTTAAATTTTGCAGGAGTCTTTGAAAAAAATTCAACACCATATGGAAGAAGATCCTAGAAAAATGAATATACTCAAGCTTCATTATTATAACTGTCTGAGAAGTTTATTACAACATTTTTCTAAAGCCCTATAGCGTACTGATCGCACACACTAGATACAAAATACTAAAACCATCTGACAATACATATGACAATATTATGTCATGCACCAAATTTGGTTTTAATCGGTAGGCGGTGACACGCCATGATGACATCCTAATGGTCAAGCTGATAATTTTAGTATATAGTATAAACATTATGTTTATTTAATTCAGTTTTATCCCTAAAATAACCGTTAGAATTAAAAATTATTGTCATTGGTAAAATAAACTGTATGATTAGACAAACGAAGCTAAGTTCTATTGAGTATTTAACAAATATACATATTTTCACTGTCTTTTAAAATCCTTAAAAGCACTACAGTCTAATTAATACCAACGTGAAAAGACTATATATTTCACTTGATATTGTTTAGATTAGATTAGCAGTAAAAATAAGTATCTTAATCATCTCTATTTCCCAATATATCAACAATTCAAAAACGTATTAAAAAAGTTATCGCGTAATTACCATATTTATACAAAAATATATATATATTATATATGTATGTACATAAGCATGTATGATAACGTCACTTTTACTTCACAGGTATGTTCATTGGCAATCTAATAACTATATATCAGTCTAAGTTTGCCCGTATATATTTACATATGTATGCATGCGAGTATAAGTTCGAATTGAGTGCAATAACTCGAACTATCAATGTTATCAGTTTCAAATTCGTCAACGCCTATTTTGGTAAGCACATTAATGCAGAAATCATCTAAGCGAGTATTGCACATCGTGAGAGCCTATAAAAATTCACATTCAAGTAATTAAAGTTGATAAGATTTACATTTTTTTCCACGCTTATGATTACGCGTCATAATGTACCACAAAGTTAACAGGAATACAAATATACAATCGAGTTTATTTATATAATAATAATAAACCCAACGATTACCCTCCTCCCGCCCAATCGACGCGAGGGGCGCAATCCGCATACGTGCGGAATTAGCCGAGTCAGAAAAGGCAAGAGAGTTTTTTAAGTGTTAAGATCTAAAACTGCTCAGCTACAGAAACAAAAATTTCAACAGCTAAGATCTAAAGTTACAATATAATAAATTGTTACATTTTCATATATATATATTAATATAACATATATATATATATTAATATAGATATATATGATTTCTTAGAGGGATACCTGAGAAACAGCTGTCAAAGTAAATAAATGAGTTTGATACTAATTTTTGTACAGAAATGGATCTCTTTATAGGTCTTCTAAGTCGTGATTTGTCTGCGCTATGGAGGGAACTGAGTTTGGGATTGCTGCCGCAGACACAGTATTTTCCGAATCTAACCTCAAACGACTTTTTTCTGTGCTAAACTAGGAATGGAATACTCACTAATAAAAAGGAATTAGCGACGATGAAGAGTTAAACGTTGACTATCAGGTGTACCGATATGAAATTAAAAACTAATTTTGAATGGGAAAGTAAAAAAAATCATGCGAAGTATTGACCATTGCTTTTTACACATTTTGACCTTTTTTCTGGCAATTTGTGGATACCATACCAATAGAAATACTCGTCTTTTGAAGCAAACCAATTAGACACCTAATTTTCGACTTCGCTTAAGAATCTAAGTGCTGCTCAGCTAATGCGTGTCCCATCGATGAAAGCAAATGCTAATCGGTAGGGACCAAATCTGGTGAATACGGCGGGTGGGTTAGCAACTCCCAGCCAAGTATGATTGTATCCTAAACCGATTTTGCTTTGTATGCAGGTGCATATGTTGCTTGTTCAATGACTGTAAGGTCATTGAATATGTTTGACAGATGTCATGCCAACCAAACCGAAAAAAAGCAAGAAAAAACGTTAACTTCGGTTGCAGCTTAATACTCTTTACAAATACAAAGGCTCGTTACAAGCACTTTATTCCGTACGTTAATATGGCAGCTATATGCTATAGTCATCCGATCTATACAAATTCTTCGGATATTAAATTATTATCTTAAATATTATTCCATACAAAATTTCACACAAATGAAAGAGTTTTTCATACATGGACTTCGATCGTTCATTACATTGTTACTTTAGATAGAAATTCATGCCAACTTTCTTGAAGATATTACGTCAAATAAAAAAGTTTCTCATACAAGTACTTGATTCCGATTGTTTGGTTTATATGGCAGCTATATGCTATATTGGTCCGATATCGGTCGTTCCAACAAATGAGTTGTGAGAAAAGGACATTTGCAAAATTTCAGAGCGATAGCTTAAAAACTGAGGGACTAGTTTGTATATATACAGATAGATGGACAGACGGACATGGCTAAATCAACTCATCATGCTAATCACTTATGTATATATTTTATATTGTTACAAACGTTTCCTTCTGGGTGTTACAAACTTCGTGGCAAACTTAATATATCCCGTTCAGGGTATAATTAGGGCTCGTTCACAACAAATGTTCCCTACAACCACACCTCATCCTCGCGTTCACCTTATACCGGTAAACCTGTTAATTAACATATGACACTTAACTCAGTTGATCAGTTATTAAGTGGGCGCAATTTTTAATTGTATATTTTATGAATTTTGATTTTTTTTATCGATTGGCGCAAACTTACAATAATACTGTACAATAATCCATAGATAGTGCAATTTTTATGGTCTTTCCATATTTCTCTACTGATTGGCAAATACTGTCGTAATATGATGTTTCCATTGTTAACTTTTCGAAAAAATAACATAATAAAATATATCATAATTTGAGCCAAACAACTAACAGAATTTGATGTTTTTATAACAACAAAAATTGTATACATATGTGTCATAGTGCTATAAATCTGCACCGCATGGAAAGGCCTGTCAAATATCCCTCATATTTCGGAATATGTATGTATGTACAATATATTATGTGCGGGGTCGACGTCACGTTACTAAGCATTGGTCGATTATGGGGCATGCTTCCTCTTCCTTAGTGCAAATACAAACATTTAACCGAATATAACTGAACACTGGTATTTTTGATAATGCCAATAAATCAAGGGCGAGGTTATCACGTCAACAATAAGAAATTTTTTTATTAGTATTTAAATGCTCTTAATCTTTGATTTATTCTTCGCATTCTTCCAAGTTTTATACTTTTGCAACATGTTTCTACAGAGTATTATAGCTTTGTTCACCTAACGGCTGTTGTATAACCTAAAAATAATCGAGTTTGATATAGGTTATAGTTATATGTATATATAAACGATCAGGATGACGAGACGAGTTGAAACCCGGGTGAGTGACTGTACGTCCGTCCGTCTGTTCATGCAAGTGGTATCTTGAGTAAAAATTGAGATAGATGAGCGTAATCGGGCTACTACTACGCCCTCAAAACGCCATTAATCAAAAGATATAAAATGCCATAATTAAGAACTAAATTAAGATATAAAACTGTAATTTGGTACAGGCGATTGCAATATAAAAGGGCACCTGTGGACTAAACATTTTATTATTAAAAATGGGCGTGGTCCCGCCCTCTAAAAGGTTTAATGCATATATTTCCTAAACCACTAAAACTACAATAACTAAAATCGCTTATGACAAATCCTTTAAGAGCCCCTACCGACAGAGTGAAAATGCGTGATTGTAACCCCGCCCTCTCCTCATTTACTCTCATAATATTATCTTGATGGTCCTATGCCACAGTGCGAAAATGGGCGAAAACGGACTACAGCCACGCCTACTTCTTATATATCACAATTTTTTTTTTTTAGTCTCTTCGGAAAAGTTTATGTCAATCAAATATATCTCATTTGAGGATGACATTGATATAATTTTCTGAAGGTAATTAGCCGGTTTAATCCTTGCAAGTTAGAGCAAGAGTATCAAATGGTCGGTTACACCCGAACTTAGGTCTTTCTTACTTGTTTTCGATTTTTTTTTCTAATTTTTTTACTAAGGGAAATCCTATAGAATTAGTTTCAGTTTCCATTATTAAAACGAAAAATGCTTTTATATAATTTAATGACGAGATTTGACGCTTATCACCCTGTCAAAAACTTTCCTCATATTTTAATTTTTTATTTACTTATTCAAAGCAGTGATAACTGAAATTGCTCGATATTTGCGAAAGATCTATTTCGAGTGCGACAGCATTGACGTTTGTTTGGTGTTTGCTTCGAAAGTAGGCAGTTCCGTTAGACAGATGAAAATAGCAATAATTAAAACAAAAAAACCGATCGAATTTATTCTATAATTAGATACGTACGAGGAATGTGTATATGTACATTTTTTTTCTTATTTATGTAACAGCTTTATCTTTCTATTATAAATAAACGTCATTTATATTCAAATTAAAAGCTTAATTCTCAAGTAGATAATGCAGCGTATTACTTTTGGTATTTTGTGCTTTATGTTAATTTTATTGTCACGCACTTAGATAACAGTAATTATTTTGAGCATTCATATATAAAATTGTCTTAAAATTATTCCACATATGTAGAAACTAACATGCTTAGATAGAAGGAATATGAAAAATACCTATTTAAGGTAGTTATTTTCTATACAACCTTCCCCTCTATTAATCATCGCGTATCAAAAAATTTACAGATTTTCATAGTGGCTGGAGCGATTGACTTGAAATTTTCACACGACCTTCTACGTTCTATTTTTCAGGTCATGATTGAAGGAATACGATTTTTGATAATTACTTTTTTAAGCCATTATGAAGTGCAAATTTTTTCGCAAAAATCGCCATTTTGTCAAATATCTAAATTTTGCCTGGACCCTCCATCTATTGAAATAATACATTTTTTTTTGGTTTCAAGATTTGAGATAATTTTAAACAGAAAAATCTTTTTCACCGCCAGATACCTTTTTGTGGGAGGTCTTCCTGGAGATCGGCTACGGGATCAAAGGAATTCAAAATTTTTCAAAATAAATCACCGATTTAAAAAAAATTAGATTCTTCAATTGTGTGTTTTATTTATTAATAATTTTAGTTATTATTAACAAAAAAACGCCTTTTTAATTTTTTATTTACGAACATTTTTTTTCTGGCTTGCCCTTTAATTGAAGACTTTCTGAATATTAAATTTTCGTAATGTTCTTTGTTTGATATCCTATTTCCCCAAGGAAAAGGGTCGTTTATTCGAAATTGTATACTCTAGCAACATGTTGCCAAAGAGTATAATAGTTGTTTTCACCTAACGGTTCTTTGTATCACCTAGAACTAATCCAAAAAGCCGCTCGCAAAAATGGACAATGGACGTGGCTTCCCATATAACACAATTTTAAATTCCATCTAATTCTTTCACTTTCCAGCATACAAATCAAGCACCAATGAATGTGATGGGATAAAACTTTGCACGAATAGTACGGTTGAAGTGTGAGACCTTATAACCAAAAAAATTCCAAATCAAAGCAAATCTATTCAAGCACACAGGTACCGAATATGATCAAATAAAAAAAAATATAATATAAATAATATAATAAACATTTATTGTTTTACAAATACGGGCTTTAAAGTACCTTATATAAAAATTTTAGCGTCGATTTAATTAATAAGGTTCCTTAACAGGGTGCTTGATAGATAACAAACAATCTTTCTTTGCATTTTTCGAATCAGATTGTCAATATTGACAAAGTGGCTAGAGTTTTTAAATGTATATAAACATACCGCATATATGAACAACGGTTTATTTAACCAATAAAAGCTTGCCATTTTTACAAATTTGCTTATTATATTAACAAAAATGAAGAGTTTAAAAGGCAATTGATATACACGATAAATTTAATTAGCACATGACTGTTGCGAAAATAAAATAAAATTAACCCAAAAAGTTAACTTCATTTACTTTGTTAACATAGTTACTAATATACATACATACATGTATATATGTACTACTAAATTAATATCTTATTAATCTTATCAGCCATAAGTGGGTACACCCTAGTACCTACTCATAAATTTCCGTAAGGACCAATAAAACATCGAAAGCACTTATTGAGTACATTTATTGGACAGATGTACTTGTGTTGTAATATAATCCTATCTAGGCCATATTAAGTGGTTGCTGGTCAATACTAAGCATAACATAGTAGGTATTATCTACTATCAATTGGTAACTTATTTATTAATTATACGCTTTCAGTTAATAGCCTTTAAGTATGAATGTATGTATATTACATTAAATTGTTTGTATACTGTTCAGAGTGAAAATAAGATAAATGTTATAATAGCTCCCACCCCCATATAAAAGTTATGCTGAAAACATGAACTGAAAGACCTCTCTAAAAAGTTTACACGAAGCATTAAAAATGAGAGTAAATATACTCGTACTACGGCAGTGTTGCAAGTGAATCGGTATAAAAATTGGATCATAGGTTTCTTAGAGAAGCTAAAAACATGTTGTTTAAAAATGTGGCTTCAAGGAGTGGCACCTTTCATTCAAAAAAATAGTCAAAGGCTGCCTAGGTATTTTTAAGCTCTCTGATATCGAATATGAGGACCTCAGTGACTTACTTCGTAGCACCTAATATCCAAAATATCGCTCAGTATGTGATATATCTGAGATATGTAATTGAGAGAATATTTTGTTTCTGATAGTCTCGATATACCTATACTGTATTTTAATTTGTTACTGAATATGTGTAAAATTAATCCCCGATGAACTATACTTATACTTGTATAACGTTATTTTAGTTCACCTTGCGCGCAATATGGGAGTACATATATATAGGAGTACAATCAATATGTGTGATATTCTAATGAAATAGGCAGACCTTGTTGAAGTACTCATCCTCCTAATGTAATAATTTCCGACCTTTTGATTAAGTTTTTTATCAGAACTTTAGGCTACTTTACTCTCACTTAGAAGCACTAAGCCCCCGATTTTTGTAATTTCAGTGAACTACTAAATATATGGTAAGTCTGTTTAATATTATATAAAATATTACATACATATATTCAACGACTGTTTTGATAAATTCAACTTTTTATGGATATAGAGTTTAAGTAAAATGGACCTCACCCCATTCACATATAATTTTCTCTGTTATGCTAATTATCTTAATGACTGCAATTATCTTATATGAGTATAAAGGTGTGATAAATCACATTTAGGCAATAAATACTGCAGGGTTAAGCACAGATGTCTGGGTATATATGCCTCTACATAGAAAAAGTAAAGTCGTTATTGTCAGTCATTCACTCACCTTCGCAACAATTTTAAAAAACAGCCAAAACCCCGACATGTTGCCACCTCCGCGGTGTAGGTTACCGTCATTTTTTCTCACTTTTAGTTTTTTTTTAATTATCACAACTTTTTACTTATTTTTTTATTTTTTTCGTTTTTGTATTAATTTATGGTTTTGCTTCTTCAGCTTTTTTGTAGTTATTGTTATTTTTATATGTTGACACTTTTTGTCACAAAATGAGCACATTTGGCGGCATTTCAATGTGTGCAAGTTGTTTGATTTGTGTTTCAGAGAAGATTTCGTTTAAGTGGAGCAGCATAACTGAAAAATAAAAAAAAGTATCTATATAATTTTATAATTTCTGTGTTTAATTTTGGATAATAATAATAAATAAATGTATTGAGTAGGATACGATACGCCTCGTTTTCTACATAATTGATAGAATTTGGAAGGCCAGCTAAAATTTCGAACAACATGCAACAACAATTTTGACGACCTACCTAAACATTTGCTACGTGATAATAATGTTGATATACTCTCCTTTCGATAGAGTCTCGACTCTACTATTCTATGAAAACCATAACTCTCACCAAATAATGAACACAAAGTTAGATATACACACATTTATCACATATTTATTCGATCAAGAAATTTGTGAAAGATTTTTTTTTGGTTTTAAATAAAAGATTTATCTAATTTGATTAATGGATTATAGCTCGACATCTCAAATAAGAACCTACGTCTTATACGAATACTTCACTATATTAAATACAGTCCCCGTAATTTTTATATTAACGAATATACCCTAATATGTTTTTTAACCGCTAACTACAAATGTTGTCGAATTTTCTGTTGGAAAGTGTTTCCTATTTAGAAAGTGTTTCCTAGACGAAGAAGCTAAATCGAGAGCGTGAGAATTAGAGCGGAAACTAGCAGTTGTTAAAAAAGAAGCAGGACTTAACAACCGACACACCGTATTTACTTTGTAGGGTCGCCGACGATTCCTTCTGGGATTTTATAAACTGTTCAGATATCACAATAATCATGTTTGCATGGAAGTACAGACAGACAAACATCATCTGGTCTATGTAGCCATTTTGTAACCTCAAACAAACGATAGGAGAAGGAAGCTATTAGTCTCTGGACAACATATGTGTAAATACCATATTAATTGAAAATAAATATTTTGACTTTATGTTATTTGTTGTGTTTAAGTTAGTTTGAAAATAAAACTAAGTTAACCAAATGTTGCACTGGTTTTCCTCTCGTCTATGCAATGTCTCTATTGCTAACAATTTTTATTAATTTAATTTTCGCAGTGTAGCGGTACAGCAATGCATAGAGTATATGAATCCATGAAAACATTAATGCTTCAGACTAAAATATGAATTAAACTTAACATAAAGTAAGACTTTTTAGGTTAGGAAAATTTTTTTTACTTAAACTTGTGAAATCATACATTTTGAGGTATAGGATGGATATACATAAGTATCGATGTTGGATGAACGAAACTGAAATGTTGATTTCTGTTATCGTGCGAATATATAAATATAATTATCAAGGTATATTTAAAGTTAAATTAGTTAATTTAATTTCTTCTTTAATTTCTTTTATTATAATAAACTGAATGTTTTTGTTTTTCTTTTCGCCTGTTACTTTTTTGACAAAGTGTACGAAACTCAAACGCGTTGGGCAGAAGTAGCGAATCGAAATAATAAAAGTAAAAATTACGGCATTTTTTTCAATAATACATACATAAATTGTTAACACACAGGTGCCTTGAAGCTCATAATATGCAATGTAAGTATACTTATGTGAATACATCTGTACAAAAGCTAAATTAAAAGCGTCGCCGAAGCTGATCATTTCTAATTTGATCGTGTAATGATCAATTAGTATGCAAAGTTGTTGTTCTTTTCAATATTTATATATGGATCTCTACTTTTGTAAGTTTACAGAATTGTAAAATTGTGACAATGAATACATAATCGTATAATACGATATAATTTTCGTTCGATTGGAGTAAAAAAAAAGTAATCAAGTACTGAAATAGTCATATGTTTTACAAGCTGCGGTGTACCCAGTTCGGAACACAATTATACGGAAATAAGGTGCCATAAACAGTGCGTTCAAAAAATTAAGGGTTTTCCTTTGCGCCATCAATACGAGAAGAAACTACTGCTCATACCAAAAGAAGCTAAGAAAATTTTGGAACAAATTTCAGAGATCTGGCATCAAACGCAGCAGTACTGTAATTAAACCCCTATTTTCAAAACCACACACTTGGCGCAGGAAAACACCAACCATGATTGGAGCAATGTTATATTTACAGATAAGTCAACTTTGGTATTGTTCAACTTTATAAGACATGTTTGCGAAGAAAAGTACAAACATATATTCAAAGGAATGTTACGCACCTACAAAAGGTTTACGTTTATGGATGCTACTCTGCACATGAATTTGGATCTTTGCGATGCTTCACTGGAAATCTGAACTCCGTTAGAACGATAAAATTGTATTAAAAGGGTTTCTTAAAGTCAGCTGAAATGCTTTGCGGCAAAAATAAACCTGATTGTATACTGTAAGAAGACAATGACCCAAACATAGGAGCAGACTCTCGACGCCAATCCTGTACAAAGTGTTTGGACTCGAATGAAAACATTTAACGTCCACAAACGTTACCTACTAACCTACCTTAATTCCTACTAATTTTCAGACGCTGCACACTTTTACAAATCTTTTCATTAAGGATTTTGAGATATTTAATTCAATGGATTCCAACAACTGGAAAAGTGTTTCCGAGATACTGGTATAATCGATTCGGCTTAATCATTAAAAAGTTTATTTTTATAGTGCTCCGGTAAATGTACTAAAAGTATGGCATTTATTTAAAATATTGACATATTATATATGGACCCTGTTAAATATAGTCTAAGCCTAAATTAAATTATTTTATTACACTAGTGCAAGTAAATATTTTATACACAACACAAAAGTGTACTCGTGTGGGCGCATTTAAAGTTCGGTCTGTGAAATTAATTGTCGTGAGTGGTTATTTATAAAATTGTGCACTCGCAAATATATACATACATCTATGCTGGTGTATATACTTATATGCTTAATTATACCCAGCAGGAAAATAACGTATGAAATAGTGTTATCCAAACATGCAACTAGTGACGCCGATTATACCATACATATGTATATATGCCAATATGCTAAGTGGATTTAGTCTTGAGTATGCAATTTTATTTCAAAGTAAATTAGTTTATTTATAAAAATATAGGATTCTTAACACTTCAATTCTTTGGTATTGTTTAAGCTAAAACTTAATATCGGGTCCCGAATCGGTCAGAAAAATTATCCCTGTTAACTCATGTCGATGTAAGCTAGTTTAACATATATCAACGCATATATGCACATAAGTCTAAGTAAGAGCATCTACTTGTACACTGAAAAAATAGTATTTTGTATAAATGATAGTATACTTAGTTATTAATATATTTCTTGTTTAAGGAGCATGCCTATCACTTAAAAGAACATACTCATATTTTAAATCGTTATCTAAAATAGTTTATTTTCAATTTAATTCGTTCAATTTATTCAGCTCTACCAGTTTATCGAATGCATTGTTCTCAAAACTACATTTTCCAAATTTGCTTGAGAGATTACTCGGAGACAACTGATCCAATCACAATTTTTTCTGCATGTAATTCTCCATATAATAACCTACCCGATCAAGATTCAACTTTTTTTTTAACGCCGTCAATTTGTCAATTTATGATTTAGATAGAGAAGGCCGGAATCACTTCAGCAGCGAATGACTGTTTTTAATTGCCTTTTTGTATGCTGTCACCCTAGGTTTGTTGTTTAGTGTCTAATTTCATTGCTGGGTTATTACAATTAGTATTTTTGAAATTCTACCAATACACTCTTATGAATTTACAATGGATCAGCTATTAATATTAATAGGTACTCGTATAGTAACGTTAAAATAAAATACGCAATTAGCTGCCAAGGTTATAAATTGTAAGGTCTTTACGAACATAATACAGGCTTTAATGTAGGTTCTATTAAATGTAATTGTACTCCGAACTACAATAAAATACTTCTTTTTGTAGTTTTTACTGAAATATTAGTTACAAATATTCTAGATCTTTGGGGTTAAGGAATTCCGTTCGGACCAATTACATTTATAAATAGGTGGCAACACTTTTTAAAAACATTATCGAGGCAACTACTTCTTGAATTCATTTATTTTTAAGTCAATATTGCATTATTTCACCAATTTAGTTGAATAAATAGCTGTTTTAAATGTAGGATTTCATAAGCATCATTAACTTGATAATCATATTGTAATATTTCGTATGCACTGTCAACTTACAATTTTGATACCTTTGGCAATACTCCCTAGAAAAATATTCAGCAAGAAGTTATCAAAAAATTCTTTAATTTGATAAAAAAAACTTACGAGTTGCTTTGTCTTAAAAGGTTTTGTTGTCAAAAAGGTCTTCAAGCCGGTTACAACCCTTCTTAACAATATCATTGACAGAAATATTTCTTAATATTCATTAATTTTAACAAATTTGCTCTTGATTTCACTTAGAGCAGGTTCATATCAAAACTTTTAATCTAGTAGTAGGACAGAATACACGACCATAAACCAGGGAAGCTTTCTTTTAAGAAAACTATGCATTAATATATTTTAAAGTTATCAAAAACTATCGATGCCACTATTATGGATATATTTCCTCCCTTGTGATTAAAACCGATTGAGTCTTGAGAGGGCTGTGATATCTAATCTGAACAGTATATATTAAGTTTGACATCAAGTTTATTACACTATGAAGAAAACTTCGAATATCAAGTACATATATGTACAATATAAATAATAGACATGACGAACTGAGTCGATTTAGCCATGTGCATCTATACAAGTACATCTGTCTGTATGATACGTGAAATGGTTTCTCAGTTTTTGAGATATCGATCTGAAATTTTGCACACGTCCTTTTTTTCCCTAGAAGCTGCACATTTGTCGGAACCGGACTATTATAAGATATAGCTGCCTAACAAAATGATCGATCACACTCAAGTTCTTATATGGACAGTTTTTTTTTTATTTTACATGATATCTTCACGAAATTTGGGCCGTTTGGGGGATATTGTTAATATCTTTTATACAAACGTTATCAAGAAATGTCAATCATCCTGAAGGATTTGTTGCTTTCTTACTTTCCGAACCATTGTCACAGGAAATGTAATATGCTGATCTCGAAATCCAGTGTCAAAACTGGTTAGCTGACAAAAGCTTCATCACA